TAAAGTTATAATGATAAAACTTTGTAGCGATTTTTCATAAAATTGTATAAGTTGTTCTCTTTAAAACTAACGAAAGAATTTCACTTTATTGAACTTACAAGAAATCCTAGCTCTCAAAAGAATATTTCTCTATTCATATGATTGCCATTTCTTTTAACAGAACACGTAAGACAGTTGATCAGCTGATTCTTGAATGTTATATCTTGAAAAATATTCTTAGTCTATCTCTATTCATACAAACTGCTTGAATGCAGGTGTAGATTTTGGTGCAGGTGTTTCTATAAGATAATTTGCAAGACGGAATGAGTATATTATTTAAGATACTTCCTAACATGAATTCTTTCAGAGACACTTTTTTCAGATCGGATCTTTGGGATTTTTCCCTTAAGTTTGGTAAACTATTTAGCTGCCCCTCGGTAATGCACCATCATCTGTTCAACGAGCTCATTTGTCACTTTGTCGGTGCTTTCTTCGAACCGTCGTTTCTTTGACAATAAGCAGATACTTTTGTATCTGTGAGAGATGCGTGATGAAAACAACTTTTGGGGGCAACTAAACGCAAGCTAATTCAATCAGCTAATTTGCACAAGAAGACGAAAATATATTCGACTGTATTTAACATTTACTGTGAGAACTTGGCCATGACACGGTGTCCACGTTCGAGCAAGACATCCTGATGACAAATGCCATGGGCAAAGCAAACAGTGCAAAGTGGAATGCAAATCCCACCCAGAATTGTTTACTCACTGGTCAGGGATTATGTAATGTGCAATATCATTGCACAAATTGAACAATTGCACTCATGTTTTCTTATTTCGCATTGACAAGTCACAGTTCAATATGAATATACTGTTGATAATATCAAAGACATTGGATGATGCCAGATAGATAGATGGATTTGAAACTAAGAAGGCATTATAGTAGGGGTTCGCATAACCGTTCGGTGCAATGTTATACAAAAATTTGCCATTTGTCGAATTTCTTGAAAAACTTAATTAATTATGAATCTAATGTTCTTTAGGATATTTAGGACTAAAATTCTGCTACAGATAATGAAAAAAACTCTGCAGATATCAATATTTTCTTATGGATTTCTTTCTTTTGCTACAATAATCCTTCTTTTTCTCTTTTCTTGTTTCATTGTCTCTCGTTTTTTCTGTCTCTTTTAAATCCTTTTTGTCTTATTTATTATTTTTCTTGCATTTTTTCAATCTATATCGCAATACTCTTGTACTTTTTTTATTCAGCACACTATTTTATTCTTCTTTTGCTTCTACCTCTCTCTCTTGTATTATATATTTTTATACCTCACAAATTTTTCCCATATCTCTAGCATATTTTTCCCCATGTGGGAATCAAACCCGGATCTTTATTGCATGCACTAGTGGGCGTACTGCGTCACATCGTCTAGCTATAAGTTTGAGATTCCCCATTTCACCGAACTCTTGGATCGCCTGATTTCTTTCAACAATTTTGCACTGGCGACTCGTTTACAGTTCGCTTGTCATCAGCCGGCGCCATATGATGCTTTGTTTTTTGCTTTTGCTGTGGCGACTTTGTTGGCCAAGATACGCGATGTGGGCAAGTCCGCAGATGCAGATAAAGATATGTATATGTATCTATGTACACATACAATATACATACATCAATATTTGTTATTGTGCACTCTGTGGCATGTTTAGCAATGAATTTTGATTTCTTGTGCTGTGCACACTCTTCTCTTTCTCGATTTTTGCGGCTGCGGCTGCTGCTGCTGCGTCATTGTTAATAAATAAACGGATGATGCGGCAAGGTAAAGGTCAAATTGACCTAATCAACGGCAAATTTGTGTACGCTCGTTAATTGACTTCTGGACCAAAAGGTCCATCACACTGATTGGACTGGTTAGCGAAAAGCAATCAATTCACAAGTTGCCTGAGTGCAAACGCACTTGCTTTGCATTTGTCAGCTAAGTGGAAAAATATCTCCCTAAGTGAGCCCTAATATCAGCTCAAGCGACCTCATTAAAAAGCCATCAGAAAATTGACGTAAAACACACTTAAATCCCAACTAAAAAGGATACTCAAATCTGCGATACTCTGTAAGACAGTTGTAAAATGAGCTGCATCGATGTAGAAAATAGAAATCAAATGTTACGAACGATAAATATTAATCGAATATAAATATAAAATGAGTTGGAAATAGGTTGTTAAATTGTGCAATCGCTTGCGTACTTCAGTGTGGGCTTATCATTTTCCAACTGAGCACGAAGTGAAGGAATCGAACCTCGCTGAAAACGGAAGACAACGAATCGATACCACTTGCATTTTATATATATAATTAGGGTTTACTCCGCTCAACAGATGGGAAGCTGAGCACCCTTATAGATTTTAAAACATATCTGAAATCGTTTTTAAAATTAAGTTTTTTATCTAGTAAATATATATCCTAGAGATTATGCCATATGTCCGATGAGAAAATCTTACAAAAGGAAGTATATACACGAATTTCATCAATGTCTTTTAACTATAAAATCAATTTTAATCCCGTTTGATTTTCTACTCTTTTGCCAAGGATGCTGGTAAAATGAACTGCTTCCAAAATCTTGGATTATACTCTGCCGTTTCAAGTCAAAAGAAATCATTGTATATAGCCCAAAACTGAAAAGTGAAATTAATGTAATTTTTTTATATGGTAAATGGTTTTAATAATAACAATTGAATTCGATTTGCACCTACATATTATACTTTATTTAAATACGGAACGGGATCCACTTCCCTTATTTTGTTAGTTGTAAATATAAATAGTAATTTTTCATTTCAAAAATCGTATTACATATGACTAAAACAATTGGCAGATATGTGCTATAGAGCCAGTTTTTCTTGGACTTACTGGGTATATTCAACATTAAATTGTGGGCAATCAAGTAGTCAGTCAGTCAATTATTTCATACGCTCGCTTTTTCCATGTTTCCGTGTCAGTTGGCCATGCCAAGCTCTGCCCAAACGTTTCGTTTTAAGGACTTTGCAACTCGCCAAGGTTTATTTTGGGTGCGGTCACATGTGCGTGGTAAAGCAAATCCGTAGCGTAGTTAACCGCAGCTGAGCTAAACAAACGCTGCATGTGATTTGGGGTGCAATATTTTACTTTGGGGTGTGTCTGCTCTCAGGACCCACTTTTCTTGCGGTGGTAACTGGGTTAATGGACTTTGGTTATGATTGGTCTTGCAATGTTTATCCAGCTCATTGGCATGGCTAGTGGGCATAATGGGCGTAATTGGCGTGCTTCGGATTTGTTTTGCCAATCATAACTGTGTGAGTTTAGGGCGAAGACTTAAAGCTTGACTTTGATTGAAACTGGAGTGAACTGGAGACTTTAGGCTGTATATAGTACAGAAAATCATTTCTTGCCCGTTTAACCTGTTAAACAGAGACAAAATTAGCATAAGACGCGTTCACATTCTTAACATATGATGTTTCGGTAGGTTGTCCTCTGGTTTTGGGCGCTATTTTTATCGCTACAAAATAGTCTCTCTTAGTGTTAAACAATTTATTAAAAAATAACGACTTAAGCAAAAATTATTCCATTCACCTAAACTTAATTAATTTATATATCGCTTATCTTTATTTGTACAATAGGTAGGTAGGAATTTATCTATAAATAATTTATTCAATAATTTATATTATTATAGTTCTATATAACCCAGCTATAAAATTTTTCCATACTTCAATGCGTATTTCATCTCCATGAATTTTCATTTTTTGTGCACTTAAAAGCGAAACTAAGTGAAAGATACAAATCTTTTTGTTACAGTCTAATCTAGACCACGCTCTCCTATTTTTACGTGCTGACAATAATGATAATTTGTGTTTTTCTCAAGAACTCTTTTGTGTTTCTTCATAGATTAACTGCCAACAGAAAGGCACGCAGTTTAATTTAGAAACATTGTATAAATTCGCAGAAAAGATCAGATACATTGAAAATTAGTCACCAGTCTAAAAATTTTGTTAATGCGCCGCAACAACAATTGTCGAGTGGCAAACCCAAAAGACCCAGACGATATCAACGTAGGCGTATACGAAATTTTTTGTGCGTGTTTCTTCTATTATTATAAATATTATGTTTATTTATTTTCCTTTTCCTTTTTTCTTGTTGATTTTAGCCGGCAAACATTAAGACGACAGCAAGTGCGACGCTGACTAATGCGTCATCAATTTGCTAAAAATCAACAACCCCACAAATTTTAATAATTCACGAAGGCACGCTAAATCAAGCCAAAGTCGACACTAAACAGAACACACCATAAAATAACTCTAGCACATTGTTTTAGTGTCTTGCGTGTTAGCCCTTTTAATTATTATACGATAAATTCTATGCGCCTCTTAGCGATTTGATTGAATGCTCTAGAATTGCGATTAGGCGCCGAGAAAACTATATTAAATATCAGAAAGGAAAATAGTACAAATACAATTAGAATAGTTGAGAATGATTAACTTAAAGAAAGAAGTGGAAGTGAAAAAAATACATGAATGATGTGATAAAATCAAGAACGTATTAAATACATTAATATTTTCTAAAGATATTGATTTGCCTTTCCTCTTCGGGTTGCGAGTATGCGGGATGTGTATACAGGAAATTAAATTCCGAATTCGGTAGAACAAGTTCTTATTAGGTATTTTTGGTCGCCCGCTAATTAGAATACTTTGGTTCCGGAGATGATTTTATTTTAATTAATTTAAAGTGAAATAAATGCATTTTTCCACTAAGAATTTATATGAATTAATAATTCTATGTTTTAAATGAGATAAAGTCATTTGGCATATGTATTTTTTCTTATATTTGTCTGCTGTTTTAAAACAGGCCATTGTTTAACTTTAGAGGTTTAAGCATTTGGAGGGAGTCCAAAAGCTTCGTGTGTGCATTGTGAAATCTTGATTCCTGAAATTGCATTGATTTATACGAGAATAATTTAAATTATCGAATAGTTTCAACATGCCCCATGAAAAGTCAACACTGTATCATTTCCTTAATAATCAAGTTAGTTTCTAGATATTAGTTTATTTTGCAATTGGTTTCGAACAAAATGTCTTTAACTTACTTGTAAATCGCTTTTTGCATACCCGTTGAAAAGATAACACTCAATCCATTTAAGTTGAATGCTTTGACACACCGAAAACAATGTGAGTACGTAGTGACTGATTTTCAGTTCATTTCACACGAGTTTTCTTACGGTTGTTTTATATCTATTGAAGTCTCACACACATTTCCCCCAATTAGGTAGTAAGTTTCTACTGATAATATATAAAGCCTCCGCTTATAGACATCGTATTATTTTTTTGCATTCCGCAGGTGGACACGTGGAACGACTTCAAGGCCAGAGCCATGCACAAACCCTAAAAACATGGCTGTCAAGTAGCACAACACAACAACTGATAAGAAAGCCAACTAAAAATAGAAAAATCTATATAGAAATATACTGAGAAGCCCAACAGATCTAAGGCAAAGCCAACTACAAGCTACGTGGAGTGGAAAATTTCAAAGCTCAAGTTGCCGACCAGCAGCAGCTAAAACCAACTTAAGCAGCTAACGAAGTGGTCAAGGCGGTGCCCGGCAACCGCCTAAACGCAGGCATTAGTTCGGTTTCCTTGTTGCAGGGTGGCAACGCCGCAAAGCAACGGATTGTAGGCAAGGAAATTGATGACACTACTCGGGCCTAGCGCCCCTGGCATGGCCTTTATGATGAAAAAGAAAAAGTATAAGTTCAATGTGGAGGTCCAACTACAGGATCTGGTCGAGGTGGCCCTGGTCAATGAGGTGCTCTTTGCCAAGATACGTCTTCTGGACGGCGGCTCCTTTCAGGAGTACAGCAGTCGGTGAGTCTAAGAATTATATTGAAATAATAATATCAATGCGGTTTTACACTAGTTAAATATGTTAAATGTAAAATATGTTGAAAAACTAAATAGTGGCCACATTCGATAAAAGCCATCAGTTTTTTTTTTTTTAATTATCAAACTTAATTTAATAGCCTAAACACATGAGATCAAATTTTAACTCTTGCCTCTTTTAATTCTTTTAAAGTACGATATATATTGCAAACAAAGTTTCTTGCTTGAAAATATAAATATAGAAAACGCAAACAGCCTTAAGAACTATCAATAGTTTCGATAATCGATTAACGCTATATTCGACAGGAGCTAAAAGTATATCAAGGAATTCAAGAAGAACTTGCTACCAATTCACTTGTTACAAAACTATCAACAGTTGCTACAATAAAATATTTCGATGGTCGATATTTTTTCTCATTTTCCTATTTGTAAATTGTGGTATACCTATAAGTATTATAAGGAGCTTAAACTACTTTCAGTAGCTATTAATACACCACAATCATGCAATAGAAAACTATCGATAGGGACAAACCCCGTAGATTGTAATCGGTCGGAATGGCAATCGATAATCATATTGATTTTATTATTTTTAAGATTTTTTAACTATTATTTACGTTAAACAAATATTTTTATTTGTTTTCCTAGCGAGGAGGTGCGTAATCATCGCGTCGAGTGGAATCGCAGTTTTGAGTTCCCCTGCAAGATGAGCGCCAATGCATCGACTGGTGTTCTAGATCCCTGCCATTTGCGCATCTCCATACGCAAGGAGATGAAGGGCGGTCGCAGCTATTACAAGCTCGGCTTTATCGATCTAAATCTTGCCGAATTTGCGGGTGCGGGCTTAACATCGCGTCGCTTTCTGCTCGAGGGCTACGACTCGCGCCATCGCCTGGACAACTCCATGCTAAGAGTTAGCATCAAAATGCACATGCTAAGCGGTGATATACTTTTCAAGGCGTGAGTAGACTACAATCTATACATGTAGTTTATAGCTGCTTAAAATACATAATTTATATTCTATTTTTTGCAGTCCCACGCCCAGTTTAAAGAGCAAACCAAGCAAACCTTCTGCAGATGATCTGGCTAATGAGGTTGCCTGCAGTGGTCTGCAAACGCCAACGGCTACGGCGCTCACCAGCATGGGCAGCGGCAGTGGCGGCTCAGCCATTCCTCTGGGCGGCAGTGGCGCCACCTTGGGCGGTGTGGCCAGCACAATGTCGGCGTCGGTCACGCGCCCCGTCTCCACCACAAGGGAGGAGGGTGAGTTAACCCTATTACCTAGAACAAAACGAATATAACTTAATTACCATGATTTATATTATTCTCCAGCAGATCTCGACGCACAGGCGGTGATAGCGGCCATTGTCACAGACTCCGGGCTGTCCGAGTCCTCGGAATCGGCGGTTACGCTGACCACGGACAATCTGCAGCAGCATGTGATTGCCTCATCCAGTGCCACCACGCCCGTCACCGTCACACAGACGCTGCCCGGCTTGGGCGTTATTGGTAGCAATAACTATGGCACCACTGGCGTTAGCATCAGCGGTGCTGGCGGTGGTGTGGGTGGTGTTAATGTGGGCGTTACTGTTAATACAGCTGCGCTTATGGAAATGGGACACTCCAGAAATTCCAGTAATACTAGTCAAGTGAGCACATCTAACAATTCTTTAAAAATAAGTCTTAATATAGAGAAAACCTTTGCTAATAATTTTCCCTCTCTACTCAGATGTCAAAAGGTTCGGGTTATAGTAGTTTTTCGCACAGTCAACATTCGAGGCAAAGTTCCGAGGGCGACTCGGGGCACGCTAGGTAAGTAGTTCACCACAACAACAAAAAAAAAACCACATATCATTTAGTCATTACGTATAGCTTCAAATATGTATAAAGCCTTGACTTTGAACTTGACTTTTTTGCCCACAATTCGCGCCAAATTTTTAATTTACATAAATAATCTATTATAACTATTATAATCTTTGTTATGCTCCTCTATACTATATGCGCTATATATGCTAAAGCTCTATATACATACTTTTTTTTACCTACCTAAACAACAGTCGTGTCTAACCTCGACAAAAGACACACACACACGTTCTCTATATCCATAGATACACACATATTCGCCCTTGATGTTTACTAAAACTTAATTCAAACAGTATTATTATACAACACTGTTAACACATACATACACTACACAACACATTATTCAATTTCCTTCATTTTTCTTAATTATTTTTGTGTTCTTTTACATATATATATATATTTCTTAGATAAGTTCCACTTTAAAACTGCTACAAGTTTTGAAAAATACCATAATTATAAGTATTATTTAAATACTAGTTACCAGTTATAAATAGGTCACTTAGGCACTTTTAGTATAAATATATAACATATAATAAAATTAGCTTAAACCTATTTATTAGCTTTATAAATGTAGTCTGAACAAGTTTCTTCCTAACTCCAACAATTTTCATTGTTAAGTCTAAGGTCAAATGCAGACAATGTACGCCCACACACACACGCACACACACACATTTACATTCCAATATCCTTGCCCAAACACACACAGACAGACTGTCGCCCTGTAATGATTCTTGTGTATTTGGTGCAATGGGCTGTGGGTATATGCCCGGGTGCATCTGCACAATATGAATATTGTTGAGCTTAGAGAATTGTTTACTTAAAATAAAAATAAAAACGCGCAGCCGGTGATCTCATCGGTTGACGTCATGGGGCGCTGCAAAGGTCACGTTTTGCATCTGGCATTTGCACGAATTTACTTAGCACAATAATTCTGCACGAACTTTAGAAACCCAAACAAAGTATTGGGCACAAGCAGAAGCAGCAAAGTTGATAAGGGGTTGCGGAAATTTAACAAATTTGATAAACTGATATACAATTATTTGATATCAAGCATTTGTTTGGCATCGTTGAAAATAATAATATAAGAAATATACAGCAAATAATTATATTATATTTAAAGCAGTCTAGTTAGTTACATGAAATAGTGAACCCTTGTGAAAATGTTGAAAATAATTACTGCCCTCAACTTTTAGAAAGGAATAATTGCAAGAAGCAAAATTAGACATAAAGTTGAATGGGCTCGACTTCCAGTAAATGATACATTAAGAAAAGGGAAATGTTTTTATTAATGCAACACGCTCAGAACTCATTAACAGACAAATTATTAAACTAGGTTGCCGAAATTAATAGATAGTTCGAAAAAGATTGATCCACTTCATTCTAACAATTGATCCTTGGGGTAAAACAAAAAAATATATATATATTAAATGATGTTTAGAATATTTCAAGAAGCAATTTGTATATTTATTTACCTTTTATATACGGCGTGTCTAGTTCCCAACTAACTTTCCACTCAACGCATTTTAATGGAATTGGTTTTTATTTGTTTTCATTTTCTAAATTTAATTCATTTAACTAATTAAAATAGTTAATCTAGCACTAAGTATATACGTGGTAGCTATCATAATAATTAACTATGGACTTATGGGCTTTTCTAATCTGGTTTTATGGTAGCTTTTACGTTTTTCTCAACTTAGTTTTATGGTTAATCATAATTTTGCTTTGGCTAATTTTGTTTAACACTTTTTGTTTTCTTCTTCTTTTATAACCAACATATGTACTGTATATAATTTAAATAAAATACAAAAAAACAATCGGGTATGTGGCCAACTAACCAACTGTAAAATAAAACATATTAACCACAATTTCAAATCTGCAACAACAAAAAAAATATCTCAACGAACGTCGCAAAAAAAAAAAAAAAACCATCAAAAAAAAAACATACTTCAGTCGTTTTAGAAAATCCGTTTCTCTACTCAATAGACTCAATCAGAGAGCTATAAATGCCATGAAATTGAATATACCAGCGATGCGGCATCAGCACAAAGCGGAGCAGGCACAGCCACAGGGCCTCGGCTTGGGTCTGGTGCAGGAGCATCAAGTGGGCCCGGCTGCGCCAAGGAGCCAAGCAACACCACCCAATCATCAGGCAATCGTTAGCCTGAGCACCACCATCGAATATGTGAGCGAGGAGATGCTCTATCAGACGCCCAATGCCACAATGAATCCCAGCGAGCAGCTTGCGGGCTATGAGGATTTTCGCACGCCCCTGGCTGAGATGCCGCTGCCGCTGCTGCTGCAGGCCACACAGTATTATGATAGCGGAGAGACGAGCGAATCCGATGAATATCCCAATGAGGATTCGGGTGACAATGACTCCGGCCTGGAGGAGAACTATCATACGCCGCGCGTGGCCAAAATCAAGTCTATGGAGAATCTGTCCATACTCGAAATGGAATTTCACAAGGCCTCCATGGAGCTGGATCGAAATTCACCGCGACGTCTAAAACAGCTAGCGGAGCGTGCACAAATACCCAAGATGAAGTCGCTCAATAATCTCTGCTTCGACGACTACTCCGAGGAGGCGGTGCGCGAGGAATTCCAGCGTATACGCGACCAATCTCTGGAGGAACGTCTGCGTGTCCAGCAGAACAACTATACACACAATTATCATCATCATCATCTCCACAGCTATGGGCTGCGCAAGAATTCAACTACATCGAATGGCTCCTCGGGCAAGCTCTTCGTGAAGCATCAGTCGCATCAGTCGAAGGTGGGCAATGCCAAGTTCATAGGACAAGATAGCGGCAATGATAGTCCGCAGCCATCACATCATCCCATACAGAAAATGCGCTCGATGGGCACCATACCCGATGTCGTTAGCGAGCGCATCGAAGCGGATCCCTTTCTCACGCCCACCAGCGAACGTCGGCCCAGCTTTAATCGGCTCATACAATCGGCGGATAAGCCGGCGCTGAGCAGCAACAGCGGCAACAGCAGCTATGTGAATCGCTTGCTCACCTACGATGTGGTCGATTCGCCGGCTGAGAGTTTTACAAATGCCGTTTCCTTTATGTCGCGCACACCCTTCGAGCGTGCCTATCGTCGCACCATGCTGCAGGGCAGCTCATCCACGCCGCTGGCCACACAGGAGCCCCCACATTTGGTGCGGCCACATTCCACGAATGCCGCCTACGAGCTCATGAGGTGCGTCGCGTTTTTCATTTGAATATCATACAAAACAAAAAAAAAAAAGAAAAACAATCAAACTCAATATTTAACTAGTTCGTTCAGTAGCGAATCTTTACTCGTTACTCGTTAAGCTTTACTCGTTGAGCCTTACTCGTTGAGCCTGACTCGTTTGCGTTCAGGCTTCAGTCTGCTGATCAAACTAAATATTTAACTAGTTCGTTCAGCAGCGAGTCGTTACTCGTTGCTCGTTAAATTTACTCGTTGAGCCTGATTCGTTTGCATTCAGGCTTTAGACTGCTGTTCAGTTATTCATTCACACGTTCGCTTCTGTCGCGTTCTGTTCCCTGAAAATCGCTTGTTGTCTCTCATTAAATATAATCGCTCATTCGTTTTGTTTTGCCCGTTCAAAATTATGTTATTGTTTCTGGCTATGTTTTTTGCGTTCTGTTTTGTTTTTATCTCGTTCAAGTTTATTTATTATTTTTTTACTAATCAATATGCCCGGTTTGGCCCTGCGCACATTTTCGCAGGGTGCCTAAGTTAGACCTAAGTTTAGTTGTAAGCTAATCTTATCAAATATGTAATTACTATTGCTATATCCCAAGGGGTTTATCACTGGGATTGGTCAACTTATTGTACAGTTAAGTAGCTACTGGTTCTACAGTTACTAAGCACTCACCCATCTCTACTTTAACATGTCGATAAATTAAGAGGCCTTCGTCAGAAGTTTTTATTATGATATACCTTTTAAAATAAAATAATTTCATTTGGGCAGCACTTAAAAGTTTGCACTTTGATACCTTCAATTTTCTATGAATTCTGTTTGTGCTTCCTCCTGCTCCCACAACCTCTCCTCCCCCTGTAAAATTGTCCTTGCGGGTCAACTCTAACTTAAACTGGGGCAAGGATGTGTCCTCCGAAACTCCTCGCTTCACCCGGCCAATGTCTGTCAACCTCGTGTCCGCCACTTGGCCTTCTAAACTCTTACCTTGGCCTCCATTTGGCTGGGCTAAAAAAACAACTGTTGAAACTGTTTTTGTCTGCTGCCTTATGAATTTTACAATAGCTGCAAGCACTCACTGGAATTTTTATTAGAGTCGAGTGTGCGATAAATTTTTAAAGCAGAAACTGACAATTTAGATTGAAGATATGACTAAAAACGAACTATAAATATGAGAAAGGTCAGGGTTAACTCAAAATTTAGGCTGCAAATAACGATATTCCATCAATTCGGAAAAATATGACATACAAAATAAATAACCCATAATTGTTGACTAGAATTTATTTCAAAAAACAAATTATAAGTGCCTACAGAAGGAAATTTATCAAGAATATTCATTTAAAAAAAAAATTATTTACACAATATATTATAAGATTTATCTCTTATTACCTCTGGCGTCAGCCTATATTTGTCTACTTAACAAATACATCAATTAAAATAGCAACCCAAACAAACAATAAATCCGGAAAGACTGCATTGGAAAATACATTTTTAGAAATCTGACTCATTTGGCATATATATTTTCTCATGCTAATGCATATTTTCCGCCCGGTAAAAACTTTAAAAAAATTATAAGCCAGTCGAGATTCTAATCTGATAGATATAAGAGTAAAAAAATGTGGGAAAAGATTAATTGTGTCTAGGGATTCAGACTACAAATGCATTTTGTTTTTTTATTTATTTTATTACATTTATAATTTGTTTAATAACATTAAACACGCACACACACTGACACTGATAAATATCCCAATCTATACATATTTTATATACAATGTTTAAAAATAATCGTATCTTATCATATAAAGTGCATAAATCTAAAATTCAAAAGCTTCTTGGCTTGAGTGCTTTAAAGTGCCTGTCAGAGGAATTTCTTGATTTGAAATTGAATACCAAAATATATTTATATATATATTTATAAATATTACTCTCTAATACCCGAATTTCGTTTGGAATACTATTTACTCATGTTTATTGTGCATATTTTGCAAATGTTTTTTGTTTCTTATGTCTTCCGATATATCCAAACCGAACATAACGCTTTGGTCTGTAACTGTGTCTATGAATTAATCCAAATCCAAAACGAAACGCGCAACAAGCAGAAGCTTCAGCGGTGTGCCACGTCGCCTCTTCGACAGCGGCAGCAACAATTGCAACAACAGCAGCGCCAACAGCAGCAGCAGCTGCAGTCGACAACAGGCAGCGGCAGCGGCAGCAGCAGGAGGAGCGGCAGCGACTGCAAACTCTGGCGGCTATGCGATGGGCAGCAGCGGCTCACCGTGCGGCACTCTGGCCAGCATCCACTCGAATCACTCGGCGTCCTCGTCGAACGGCAGCAACAGCAGCAGCAGCGGCGCCCTCATCACCTTCCAGTGCAATCCGGGCAGCTGCAGCCACCAGGACACCGTGGACGGTGTTCCGTCGCAGCAGACGGTGTTGGGTTCGCCCAATGGACATGGCAGCAGTCCACGGCTGGGCAATGTCATGTCCGGAGATGCGCTCAGCTCGCTGGCAGCGAGTCCAACCGATGCGTGCAGCATACGCTCGAATCCTTCGGCTGCCTCCTTGCTGCTCTCCACGTCCGCTGCGGCAGCGGAGGCATCGGCCATGACCTCGGCCACCACGACGTCCGTGTCGGGCGCAACGCTCTCACCGTTGGCTACCACACAGATCATACGCCGGCCTAGCATCACCATGATGTGGGTTGCATATTCCACACAACGAATTTTCTACTTAGTTGCCTGCCTCTTTGTATCCGTTTGTTAGCTCTTAAGTTTTGGCTGTTATTATTATTGTTTTTGTTGTGTTCGTAAATCTTTGACACGTGATTGTCCACACTATACTTTATGATATTCAATAGAGCTGGAAAACTAAACTAAATTCAATATAGATTCGTTATTTTGTCTGTCCGTATAAATTATATAGAAAATCTCAGAGTTTGTATTAAGATCAAGTGTTATATAGTTCAAGCATTAGAAAATATGATCTTTAAGTACAAGTACTTATTTAAATACGAATGATTTACATAAAAAGGATTAAAGTAGCGAAGAATAGCTTTGGAACAAATTTATCGTTTATATTTATAAAGATCTGCCGTTTTATGAATAATTTAAAAATATTTTTTAGATAATCAATTTGTTAAGGGCAAAAGTTAATATATATTCAAACTATAAAGATTAATTCAATATTTTTTAAATTAAAAATTCGGTATAACGAAAAAATTTGTTCTTTGATATTATTTTTTATTTAAAGTCCAAATTATATATGATTAAATAATCAAAATTGAAAAAATTGAGTTCAAGGAAAATTAGTGAAAGAAAAATAGTAAAGAAATTGGGGCATATTACTATGTTCAAGTATATTTGACATATTTTCCAGCTCTTATGAGTATGCTAGATGTATTATTTATCAAATATGTTTTTGTTAAAAACTCAATTAATTGGATGTACAAAAGACTGTGCTTATGATCAATATGTAAATTTAATTTACGAATTTATTTTCTTATAATATGTGTGTACTTCGATTCCATAACTAAAGATCGGGCAATGCAGAATGTCAAATTGTTATATTAATTTACTTATATATTTTATTTTGTTTTTAAGCCTATCAAAACTGTTTTAATGTCTAGTTTTTTATTGTGTGAAGTTTTTTGGAACTTGTTCTATTTATAAGCGTTTCATTGGTTCACGTCGCAAAAGTTTTTGTCCGCATTATTCAAATATTTGTAATCATAGTACACATACACACACATATATGTATGTTTTGCATGGCATGGCCAGATTTAATTGCCCTTCCCCCCGCCCCCTCGACTTGCCGCAAGTGGCACGCCCCCTTTATATATATCGTGTGTTTTTTTGTATACCGCTGCTTATTCACATTTATTACTTAGCAAATGGGTTCACATAAGCAAAGAGCACCGCGTATATTCTTTAACTTATATTCTATATATATACACAATATAAAATTAATTATTGTTTTTAAGATATTTACTCATCGTGCTGTTTTGTTTTGCTTTCACAGGAATCCCAGTTCCGGCTCGTTAGTTATAAGTGAAACAGGATCTCTAGATCGCACGAAAAGCAGCGGTGAGAAGCGCAAAAAGGGCGCCCTCGATGATGGGCCGCGTGTTTCGGATCGTGTCGAAGAGACGCGCGTGAATCCCAACTCTTTAATCGATGAGATTTTGAAGGATACCAAGCTGGATCAGCTAGGCGAGTCTGCTGAGAGTGAGTATTAATTTTTCTACTATTGGGGCTTATATATATATATGTCTAAAATGCACACCATCTTTCAATTTAGCGTCTGGCCTGCAGCTCTACATAGCGCGCGATGGCACTGCCTCTCTGGGCGGTCACGAGGTCAAGTCAAGCGTGCGGGCGGGTGCCTTCAAGCAGGTGGTCATGCAAGATCGAAGATAGTAGCGATTCTTGTGTGTATGTTTCGTAAAATGTATTTAGAAGACTAAAACAAACCCACAACAACAACAAAATATAATAGAAAGAAGAAAACAAGAGTTTTTGAAGTATATAAATGTAATGATTTAATTTTTACATAATATTTACTTGCAAGCAAAAAGTGAGAGTATATGTACACGTATATGACCTATAAATATGAGTATGAGTATATATAAATGTATGTCATGTCAAAAGTACACTACTATACATGTAACTAGCTATATATATCTATATATGTATGTATGCCTATATAACGATATGAGAAATAATGTGTGTGTTAAGCGTTATATTAAACAAAACAAAAGCCTGAGCATCTAATTATGTTAACAAACAGTGCTCGCACTGTTAATTAACATTTAATGCAAAGCGTAGTTACTCGCGCTTCTGGGAGTGTTTGGGCTTTTTAAAATATCTACAAATATCTTACAAATATATTTACATTGATTTTAACTTGCACACTTTATTTATTTTTATTTACCAGTTTAGTTTAGTTCAAACGTCCAACACACTTCCAGTCAGTCAAAAATAAAATATTAACACAAATTTACCGTGTATTGTGAAAAACCAAAAATTACAATTTTGAAACTTACTCAAAAAAAGAAACAGGAAAACTAAACACTTAAATGCTTGCACTTTCAATGTACATAGAAATATTCATATTGATACAAAGAAACTTTCAAAATTTAGCAAAATAATTGCAACAATATTTAATTTATTGCTTCCAACATAAATAAATAAAAACTTAATAAAACAAAATCAAAAGCTGTCATTGCAACAAAACAAAATGCAAATTTGCTTGCCACACACACACACACACACATATATATATATATATATAAATATACACACATGTATTACATTGATGGGGAGTTAGAACTGCAGAAAAAACCTTCCGCTGAGCTATATACATATGCCATAATAAATGCTACTTCCTCTTGAAAACTGCTACAAATATATATATACACATATATATATATATATATTGAAAAATTAATTAAAAACAAGCCCATAGCTAAATATTCAAATTCAAATTAAGCAATTAGTTTGCTGCAGACAGAAATTCACAAATTCTATTACAGCACATTTTTTAAAAATAATCTTTACAGTAAACTTTGCATTTTGCTTTTGAAACAACAATTTGTTCAAAATAGTTCTTGATTTTTGCTAAATTCGATTCGTAGCTAGCAAAATAAATGTGCAAACATATATTTGTATACTATTATAACATTTCAATTCTGTAACTGAATACCTTTATGTATAAAAAAAAAAGCTAAATACAAATACAATTTTTGTGTTAATATACAATTTACTACTATAATATTAAAAATAAAATGCAATTAGTTGTTAGCTTAGTTCTTTAATGACGAGTGTGTAAAATTGCTTTAGTTATTTTTTTGATAATTTGTAAAAAGTGAAGATATAAGCCAGGTAGCTCGAGAGCTAGTTTTTTAAATTGTATATGGTAAAAAATAAAAAAAATGAAAAACAGAAAAACACAAAAAATACACAACATACATATGGTTGATTGTCAAGCTAGCTAAATATTGTTGGCAAAATACATGGCTTAAATCCCTTATCAAATTTTATTTGCACTTAAAGTAACGCGACACTGAAAATTGAAATTTCTTGTTTTATAGGTTTTAAGTTTTTATAATTTGTTAACATGCACTTTGTTCAATTACTTTTTGATAAGCCAGCTTACAAGTCAATAAATACAGTCCACGGTCTGCGCAGATAACAACTGATTAGCCATTTATATGGCCAGCAGTATTTGGCTAGCACAACTGGCAAATTTTGTGAACATTTTTGAGCTGATCTTAAGCTAAAAACCAACAAAAAAATAAATTAAAATAAAATAAAAAGCAGAACCTACATATGTGAACAATTACCCCAATAAAGTGAAAATTTAAAAAACTGCAACACATGTGTCCAGTTTTTTGCTCACAGCGGATCCTGGACGAACCGCAAATAGGTGCCTCCCGCAGCTGTTAGCACAAAGGCTTTGGCATCGAATTTCATCTCCGGCAGGGTTCTTGCACAGGTCTCTACGCGATAGTTCTTCAGTATGTAGACGAGACCCACCTGGATAAAAGGCGAAGGTGCTTTCAATAAAATGGCAACGCGAGGAACTAAGGAAACACACCTTGATCTCCAGGAGACCCAGCAGCGTGCCCAGACATCCGCGCGGACCGGCGCCAAACGGCAAATATGTCATGGGTTGATGCTGCACCCGTTGCTCCGGCGAGAAACGTTCCGGATCAAACTTCAAAGGCTGAGGCCAGTACTGCGGAAGCAAAAACATTGATGAACGTGCATAAAACTGGCGAAGGGGCTGAGCCCAATTGTTACCTGCTCATCGCGATGCAGTCCCAGCACAGAGATGTAGACGGGCGTGCCAGGCGGCAACCGCAAGGCGGAACCACAGCTCCAGGCGGACAAATCATAGCCAGCCTTGGCATTGCAGCAGCGATCCAGAAATGCAGTCGGCGGATACAAACGCAGCACTTCATCCACCACCTGCCGCAAATAGGGCAGTCCGCTGAGTGTCTCGTAGTCCAACTGTCCGTCCGCGGCTCCGCTGCCCAGCAGCGCCGTCGCCAACTCCTGCCTGAGGCGCTGCTGTATGGCCGGCTGCTTGGCCAGCTCGTACAGCGCAAAGGTAATCGTCGAGGAGGAGGTGTCAAAGCCAGCGAGCAACAGAAATGCTGCCTGTGCCACAAAAAAGTCACGTCGGTGCACCACGCTCTCCGGCGGCTGCGTGCGCTGCAGCTGCAGAAATATGTCAATCAGATCGTGACGCTGCTCCCCGCTGGCCGCACGCTGTTCCATCACCCAGTTCATGGATTGCCGCATGAAGCGCTCGTACTCCTCCGAGTAGAGATGGGTGCGCAGCTGGCGCGAGAAGCGCGGAAAGAAGAACATGGTGAAGAGGTGCAACAGACGCTTGGGACGCGGCTCATTCACCTCAATGCACATGCGCCGAAACTCTGCGTCTGGCTGCTGAAGACAATTGGCCTCCAGGCCAAAGGCCAGAGAGGCAATAATATCTGTGCTAAACAACGCGCTCAGCTGCTTGACCTCCAGCTCCAGTGTGCCCTCCGGCGTGCCGCAGGCAGCCAGCTGCCTGGCCATATGCTGCTCCAGCTGCTGGCCAATCTGCTGCAGGAGCCCAAACATATGACGCACCTTGCCGGCGGCAAAGAAGGGCGCAAATATCTTGTGCGTCTCGCGCCACATCTCGTACTTGGAGAAGAACAAATTCTGTGCGCCCATCGTGTCTCCAATGGCATCTGTAGTCTCAAAGCGACTGGAGAACTGCCCAAAATCCTCGACGAGAATACGCTTGATCAGCGCCGGCTCGCGCAGCAGCAGCGCATGATTGTGCAGCACGTGTATGCCCACGTACGCCTGCCCCTTGGCACTGGGGCACTCATAGAGCTCGCGGAACTGGTCGCCAAAGCAGCACCAGCCGCGCAGCAGGCGCCACACGTTGCCCACAAAGGGCGCGCCGGGTGCATGCGGCACGCCCAGCCGCTGCCAGTGGCCAAAGTGCCAACGCTGCCAGAGCCAAGCCAACAGCAACAGCACCGCCAGCAAGCCGAAGGTGATCATTCTGCAACAATAACTAGTCAACTGAACTGTACTCTAATAATTTGTACATTTTCTTTTTGTGTAGGCTAATTGCGGTTGGAATGTGACTTAAGCCAGAGAGAGCGAAAGTGAGAGATAGAGAGCGATCAATAGATAAGAGAGTGCAGTGCAGTAGCTTTATCAAATTACGCTCTATCAGTCTGACTGCCTCGCTCTCATTCTTTTGGTGAGCAAACACCCGACAAATGCGTCGCATTCGACTTATACAACATATCCACAGCGGGTTATTTGAAACCGATATATCTTTTTGGATTCGGGAAAGTCTTTAGGATCGGTGAGTATCAACATTTTTCAACTTTTTTTGACTGAACATACCAAGATTCAATTAAAATATTTTTTAAAAGTTTTTTTCTTCTATATGGCCATTATATTTTGGGCAAATCATGTCCGACTTTGGAATCATATACATTTTTGAGTGCGTCAAATTCTCTAGAATTAATTATTATCGCACACGAGCCAAAAAGATAAAAATAAATTTGTTAATCAATGTTCATCTTGTTATGATGTGCCTGCCTATTTTCTGAGCGCAGGTTTTTTTTTGCGTGCCCTCTATCAACCTAATTCGCTTAGTTTGATCTCAGTGGTAAATGTGACAACATCTGTAAGCGTGCAATAAGGTTTCTGTCCGATTCTGTCCAGTCGTTCTTATTTAATTTGAAATCTATAGTTTCGTGTGCCCGCGGCGGATAAACTGTGAAGCCATATGGCTACGCCCACTTAGGGCGTGACAAAGCGGGAAAATGTTCATCTATATGTAACAGCGTGAGTCGCGAAATTCGATACATGTATATATATACGTCAGATTGTGTGAAGATTATCTGGTTACACTCCTTTGGGGCGTGACAAACATTATTATCTAGCCTACTGATGAGCTGCCTTTCGGACAGGAATCATGGCAAATTGGAAAAATCTTTAGCTCTTAATTAAATTGGCGAGTACACATGATCATTTTAAATGCATCAAAAATCTATTAAAATCTTTTTATAAGCAAAATCAAAACTACATAAGGGTCTTCTCAAAGAAATCATAAAAATAAAACTAAAGTCAGCTCCAAATATAACGATGGCAGCAGCCAGCACCCACACGGAATCAAGTAAACGTAAAATGCCATCTCTAATTACCAGGCGCTCAAAATGGGCAGCTGTTGATTGATTTTAACTGCAAATTACTTTTACTTCGCTTAAGAATAACATGCGGAGAGCGTACGCTTGAGAGAGCTAAATTGCACTCAGAGTACAGCGACACACACGTGTTGCTCTCTTCTAGTGTCGCTTCCTCCTCCCATACACTTGTTTGTGTGAGTCTGTGTGTGTGTGTGTGTGTGTGTGTACTTGTGCGTTATCTGCTCATGCATATGTGTGCTTGCTTGTGCGTTATCTTCTTATGCATCGCTCTCTGGAATTTTGTTGTTGATTATCGCTCATCTTGTGATCGTTTGCTTGCCTATTTTCTGTGCACCGGTTTTATTTCGTCTGCTTTGCGCTCCCGCATCTTATTTCTGTGTCATATTAGCTCCAGTGATCAATATAGCATGAGCCGAATGAGTGCACTTGAAAATCAGAACCGGGATATTCAAACATAATTGTTATTTAAAAAGCTTAAATATTGTTATTATTTGAAAAGTTAACGATAATTGTTCAAGTTTGTTGTAATTACGCCTATCAACAGAATCTTTAAACAGATTTAATGTGCAATTGACTGCTGGCCTCAAATTAACACAAAATAAAGTTGCGAGAGCGCAAAGCAGTCGAAAAAAAGGCGCAAACAGAAAAGGCAAATGATCTCACGAGAAATCATTAATTGGAACGAGAAGCAAAAGCAAAAATTGGTGAGCGAGGTAGATAACGCACAAGTATACACACTATGCACAAGTTGATAACCAAGATAACAAGTAAGTACACACACAAAACAATTTTTTGTAGAGAGAAGAGACCATAATCGTATGTGCGCAAGTTTGTGTTTCTGTGCTCTGAGCGCAGAAGTCAGCTCTCTCAAGCTTGCACTTGCTGTGTGCCCACGCATTCTTGGTCGAAGTAAAAGGAATTTGAACATTAATTCAAGCACAAGTGTCGCTTATGTGCGCCCGGTAATGAGAGATGGCACCTTATGTTTACTTGAATACGTTGCGTGTCTGCCTGTCGTCGATTTAATTATGCCGAGTTTATTTTTTATTTTCATGCCTTTTGTTAAGAGGTATGACAGATTTGATATAAGTTTTTTGTGCCTTATACATGTTTACATAAAGTAAAAGAAAATGCAATTATAAAATTAACAAACATAAAAATAAATAATGATCGATCCTGGAATATACCTTTGTAATTTCTCGGACCAGAAGCTTTAGCTGTAAATCATTTACAAACATTCAGATTAGAATTACCGGCGATTACGCGAATAACAAAAATTGAATATGTTGATAATATTGTTACCTTATATTATGGTTGCATTTTTATTTATTTATTGATAATCTAGTTAGCTTATTTTATAGATGCGTTTTAATGAATGTGTTTAAATAATAATGAATTTAAAGTAAGACTTAACATATTAAAAAATAACTCAACATGACGATTGCATCAGCACTGCCACACATTCAAGTAAACGTAGGATGACATCTCTAACTACTAGGTGCACATAAACGATAGATATTAACTGTTTTTGTCTTGAAAATAAGCAGGTATTGATTCATGTGTTCAGGCACCAAACCAAAGGGGGAGTTACACCAATGAGTCATATATGTATGTACTTACATTTTCCGTTTCTCCTAAAATTGCCAGCTCTTTTTTCTGTGCGCCGTTTATTTCGTCTGCTTTGCGTTCGCCTCTTTTTGTTTGAAGATAGTAGTCAATTGGGCTCAAGCAGTAGCCATTTAAAGCTTTTACAATATCGGAGCTAAATCCACTAAATGATATTGAAAATAAAATATATATTAATTTTATCATGTCCGATATTTAAATGACATGTACGAACCAAAACTATAATTTCACATAATTTATATTACAATAGAAAGGGACAGTTCTGCAATAAGCCTGAAGTCTGTGCAATTGACTACTGGGGTCAAACTCGAGTCTCGAGCTTTGATCTGAGTACATCTTCCAATGATCTCGGTGTAAGGCTATTTCCTCATCTCCGCCCACCTTCCCGGCATAGTGAAAGCCACGTCAAGCCTATGTTGAGTATCACGTGCGACATCTCTGCTGCTGCCGCGCTCTTCAGTATTGCTGCTAAGTATGTCATATCTAGTCTTTCTATATATACTGTATTTTGTCAAACCAACAATAATTTAATTTTAAGAAGCATCCATGATAAAACGACATTTTTTTATATATGCTACATTAATTCTGATAACTTAGTCTTATTAGGATCTTGGCGAAGCACATGTCGAAGGTCTCGTATTGAGGCGAAGAATATCCGTTGACCAAAGTACAATTAAATCGTTCTTCCAGTTTTCAGTGAATCTAGGAATCAAAAAATTTGACCCAAATCTCAATCTCTCACACTCTAAAGACTATGACAATGTCCTTTGGTGGCACATATAGTCCTAATCCTTTCAATTCATAATATACAATAATATACAAAAAATATATCAAGGATATTGCACTTTAAGCCCACATCCGTGTAACGCGTGGCTCAAATTTTACCAAATTTTCTTAGATAATATAATGTTTTGATGAAGGTCGATGCGACTGCTTCTTAAGAACCGAATACACCATGACCTTAAAAAAAATTAATTTAATTTAATGTGCTTTTATCTTTTCAGATTGAAGACTTCAAGGACTTCGATGCTCAGGATATATACAAATCCAACAAGGGTATTCCTGCCATGATCGGACTTTATTAACGGCTTTTTAAATTTAAATAAGATAAACGGATGAATTCTTCAATATTTGTATAATTTAAATAGAAATAAATAATAAATAATATTAAGTAAAAAATTGTATAAATATTGACAGAAATAAAAATAAACGCGTACTTCAGGTTTCCTAAATAAAGCTGTTTTTTTGAAAAGGACATTCTATTTATAGCCATAACTCAGCCAAATCCTTAAGGATATCGAAAGGATATACCTGTTTGAGCTCGTGGGGAGCAGGACTATCGATTGGCATCCAAGGATTTCCAGGATTTCACAAAAAAAATGTTCTCAATTTCTGCAAGGGGGTTAGTCAGAAAATCGAAAATTGCCGGACTAACTTTGCCATTTGAAGGACGATCGGGATGTCCTTTGGGCAGAAGATAGTCCTTGTCCTACCATTTACGAATATGCAACCCCAAGGACGATAGTCCTTCAACAGCTGAGAAAACAGGACTTTTTTAAAACTTTTTTCAAGCACTAAATCGGCTATAGCTCGGCTGTATCCTTGCGTATCCTGACGAGTCCTGTGGCAAATAAATTGTATTGATCACGGCTACCATCTGGCCAAAGGGCATCGAGATCGCATATCATTTTGGTCGGCCAAAAATATCGTTGCATACCCGAAAGGGGCGCGCACGTCGGCGGCGGGTCAGAAGATATTTTTGCTAAAATTTCACTAAAATACCAGGCGAACAGAAATGCCCAGCAAGCAGACGAAAATTTTCGGTATGCTGATATGCTGATCATTTTGGTCGGCCAAAAATATCGTTGCATACCCGAAAGGGGCGCGCACGTCGGCGGCGGGTCAGAAGATTTTTTACTAACATTTCACTAAAATAACAGGCGAACAGAAATGCCCAGCAAGCAGACGAAAATTTTCGATATGCTGATATGCTGATTTTGAAATGCCTATAACTCGGCCATATCCTTGCGGATTTTCAAAGATCATGGTGCGTTAGGATCGTGAGGACCAGCCGCGTCGATCTGCATCAAAATATTGGGGGTTCATCTAAGAATCGAGCACTTGATCATTTTTTCAGTCGCGGGGCGCAAGAAAATGGGCAAAAAACACAAAATCCTTAATATCTCCGAAACTACAAGGACGATCTCGATGCCCTTTGGCCAGATGGTAGCCGTGATCAATACAATTTATTTGCCACAGGACTCGTCAGGATACGCAAGGATACAGCCGAGTTATAGCCGATTTAGTGCTTGAAAAAAGTTTTAAAAGTCCTGTTTTCTCAGCTGTTTGAAGGACTATCGTCCTTCGGGTTGCATATTCGTAAATGGTAGGACAAGGACTATCTACTGCCCAAAGGACATCCCGATCATCCTTCAAATGGCAAAGTTAGTCCGGCAATTTTCGATTTTTTGACTAAACCCCTTGCAGAAAATGAGATCATTTTTTTTGTGGAATCCTGGAAATTCTTGGATGCCAATCGATAGTCCTGCTCCCTACGAGCTCAAACAGGTATATCCTTTCGATATCCTTAAGGATTTGGCTGAGTTATGGCTATAAATAGAATGTCCTTTTTAAAAAAACAGCTATATATAGGAAACCTGAAGGACGATTTCGATGTCCTTTTGCCAGTTGATAGTCCTGGTTCATAAAAGCTGTTTGCCGGCTCAAGGACCTCGAAATAGTCCTTCAGTCCATACAAGGAAAAACGCAGGATATTTTTTGAAAAAATTGTAAAATCGTTACGTTTATTTTACGCTTAAGTCATAGTATTATAGGCACTATATGCTGCTTAGCTTAGCGCCAGCTGCAGTCGCAGTTGCAACGGCATCTGCTGGTGGCTGTTGTGGCATTTGTTGCATATATAATTAATCTGCCCCCGCGCGGGGCAATTTGTACAATGTGTAGCTGCAACAGTAGCTGCCAGCAGGGCGAACAGTTTGCATTGACATTGGATTTGTTGTAGCAATTGGTTTAAATTCATATCACGAGCAGCAACAACGGTTAGGAGCCATGCAGATTCGGATGCTGTCCACTGGTGTTCTGCAGAGCCTTGGCCACCTCCTCCTGCAGTGTGCTGGGCGGCTCCGATACAATATCCGTGTGCATCGATAGGTACTTTAATTTGTTCGTAACAGCTGAAGAGAGAAAAGACAGAGAGAGAGATAAGTTATTTAGGGCTTCCTGCGGGAGCATGCTAAGGCATACTTACCAGGTCGCAGATCTATGAGCGAGCAGTGCTGATCCACCCAGAGAAAGGCGGTGCGACGCAGTTCATCCAAACTGGCGCTGGAAACGGTCGACGTGTAAGAGGCCAATAAGGGCTCCAGAATGAGACCCAGCTGTCGAGAAAATAAATGTATATATAAATATACAAAATATCAGAATCTGTAGGTGCAGCTTACAATCCAAAACTTCCAATCGTTCATCGTATTGTAGCGCACATAGACCTCATATAGCTGACGCACATGCTCCGTGCCCTGCCGTGTAACGGGTGCACCGTTCGCAGGCAGCACCGAGTGTAGGTGCCTGCAGAAAGAAATAGAATAAGGATTAGTGATCAGTTGAATCCTGGTAAATATATATATATATATGTCGTGACCTACATGAGGGAGTTGTTTAAAGCATCGCGCTCCATTCGTAACGCTTCGATCTTGTCCTTGAGTACATTGCGCTCCTGGCGCAGCTGTTTGATGTGATCGGCGCCCTTCTGGAGCATCGCCGCTTTGCTTAGCTTCGCATTGGGATTCTGCTGCAGCTGGGGTATGAGCGCGTGCAGGGTATCAAATCCATTCTTAATATTATAGCGTCGCTTCTGCTCCGCATGGATGTGGCCGGCGCGACGCTGTGTATCCCGTGGCAGATACTTGAGGCTGGTCGTCGGCGACAGCGGCAGCGGCGAGTCCTGCGAGTCGTGGAACGGCGATTCCGGCGACAAGCTCAGACTGCTGCCCAAATTGGGATTATTGGCCTGCCCAAAGCCGAGCATCTTCGCTCCAGGCGGACTGTGCAGCGCCGGTGCAGCAATCGCGACAGGCAACGAGGCGGACTTCTTTGGTGAATGCTGCTGCGTCGGCACCGGCACCGACAGCGGCGACGTTGAGGCATTGCTGGCGTACAGCGATTGCTGCTGCTGCTGCTGATGGTTGTTGCTGTTGCTGCTGCCGCTGGCTATGGCATTGGCGGAAGAATTTGACTGCTGCGTTTTGTTGGCCACGGCTGCCTGCAGGCGTGTATCTGATGTGAAGTAGGGAAAAATTAATAAGTTATCTGACCTGATGTGTAGAAAGGGAAAATTAATAATTAATAAATTTTGCCTGCCTATTTTCTGTGCGCCTTTTTTATACCCCGCTCGAGAGTATTATAATTTTGTCATGGAATGTGGAAAGGAGGCAAAAGTTACCCACAAAGTATAAATTCTTGATCAGTATCAATCGACGAGTTAATAATCCATATCCGTTTGTCTGCTTCTATGGAAGTAATCTCTCAGTGAAACTATCGGCATGAAACTTTGCATGTGCCCGTTTATCTGCTGCTTGCAGTGAACATGTCGGAACCAGCCGGATCGGATCACTATATCATATAGCAACCATATAGCAATGAGCGGCCTTATCAAAATAGCGACCAAGCTGAGAAGTTTTTCGTTTTTCTGTGATCCTTATACGTAAGCAAAACTAATATCAGTCCCTTATATAAGTTAGCGTTATAAACTTAAAAGAAGAATTATTCGTAAAATGAATTTTTGTATCGAAAAAGGTGGTGTTCTTCAACAAATCTTCACCAAACTCAGCGATTACGAGCCTGACTGTTCGCCAAAGATTTCAGCATAAACATAAGCCATATTTCTGGAAGGGTGTTCAATCTTCGGCGTGCCTAAGATAGTCGTTCTCTCTTGTTGGCAATGACATGCATTTTCTAATAAATCTTATAAATATGTACATCAAAAATTATATGCATATGATTTTAGTCAACTTACTCGACGTTAGCAGCTGGGCTAGCGTGCTGTTGAGCATGGGATCGCTGGTTGCCTGTTGCATTTGTTGGGTGACAAGCAGGTTGCCGCTGCTGGTGCTGCTGTTGCTGTTGCCGTGTCCATTGTTGACGGGCGAGCCACCGCCGGCGGCAACAACCGTGTGCTGCTGGTGCATGGAATTGCTGCGCACGCGGGACTTGCCCTTGGCATGGTACTTGGGCACCGCGAACTGTTGCTGCTGCTGTTGCTGCTGTTCGTGATGGATGAGCTTGGGCAGCGACACGTTTAGGGGGAGACTGTTGGAGCGATGCATCTCCTTGGGCAAGATGCTCGTGTTGGGCGTGGCCCAGGAGGCAACGCTGACAGCAGCTTGCTGCTGCTGCTGTTGTTGTTGTTGTTGTTGTTGTTGTTGTTGTTGTTGTTGTTGTTGTCGGGGTAGCAGCAGACTAGCAACCGTTTGCTGTTGCAGCTGCATATGTTGCTGCTGCTGCTGCTGCTGCTGTTGTTGTTGTTGCTGTGTATTGGCTGCCTGTTGCTGGCGTGTCAGTTGCATGAGCTGCTGTGTGCTTAGACCAAGACCCAAAGGCAGCGACTGTTGCAGCTGCAGCTGCGGCTGCTGTTGCTCTTGTTGCAAATAGCTTTGTTGTTGCTGCGGCTGCTGTTGCTGCTGCGGGACGCGCGGCACATTCAAGAAGGTGCCTGTGGATGCGGATTTCTTGAACTGCGGATAGGGTTTGTAGCTGATGGAGTTGTAGGGCCCATCGCTAAGCAACGACAACACATCCGCCTGGTGCGGCTCCACCTTGACGCTAAGTTGCTGTTGCTGTTGTTGCTGCTGCTGCTGCTGTTGCTGCTGCTGTGGTGGCAACTGTTGCTGCTGTTGCTGATAGCTGTCCGCATAGTTGCTCAAGAAACTTTGCGTATTGTAAGCATTTTGTTGCTGCTGCTGCTGTTGCTGCGTGGGAAAATGCAAACGCGGCTGCTGTTGTTGTTGTTGCTGCTGCAACTGCTGTTGCTGTTGTTGTTGCTGCTGCTGCTGCTGCTGTTGTTGTGGTGTCTGAAACGCCTGCAAGACAGCGCCCGCGCTGAGATGCTGCTGCTGATTCTTTTGCTGCTCGGCCAGCATCTGCTGATAGATGGTCGTCTGATGCAGCGTCGGTTGCGCCTTGTCGTAGTTGTGCGGCTCGCGTCGAATTAAACGCTGCGT